TCTTACTGCTCCATAAAGCCTTCCACAGTTGAAACAGCTCTTACACCTGTCTTTTTTCACTACTCTTGTTTACAACCTGTACCAAATATTTGCTTGTTTTCTTCACATGTGTTCAGTTGTTCCTACAAAATTGTAGAAATTTTTTTCCTACAAAAAAATCATGTTTCCTGGCTGAGTACAGTGGCTCACCCCTGTAATCCCAGTACTTTGGTAGGCCGAGGTAGGAGGGTTGCTTGAGCCCAGGAGTTTACCACCTCACTCCAGCTTGGGGCAACAGAGTGAGACTTCATCTCTTAAGTAAATAAATAAGTTTAGTGCTTGAGGTTTCTATTGGGAGCTGGTTCTGTACACCATGGAAATCCACCCTTTGCCCCACTTTAAAATTACTGTGTAATATTCCTTGGTGTGATTACAGGATGATCTAACTTTTCCCTATTGATTGGTTTTTGGTTATGATTTTACGCTGCAGTGTCTATCTTTGCACAGTTCCTTTTTCAGAGGCTTAGATTTGAATTGATGGATTATAAGATAGTGACATTTAAAATTTCGTTGTGAATAGATACTTCCAAATTGCTCACTAGAAGCTTAGTGCTAGTTCATACATACTTCCAATAGCGTGTACAAGAGTACCCTTCAAAAGGGATTAATTTTAATGATATTCAGTGCTGGGAATGTGGGAAAAATTGACCAGCAAGTGTCAGGAAGCACAAGAATAGGAAGGGGCATTCTCACCCCCAGGTGTACCCTGCCGCCTTGATAGGCCCTTGAAATAGAGACAGACTCTCTCTAGGTTGCCCATTCCGTTCGCAAACTCCTGGCCTCCCAGACTGCTGGGATTACAGGCCTGAGTCACCATACCCGGCCAGAAACGCATTCTTGAACAGTACAAGTAAATCATTTGTAGTGGCTACTGGAAGATGTGGGCAAAATTTGAAGCTTAGCTTGATTTGTTGTGTGTAATGTACCATCCTAATCTTGATCTGTTTTTTCAGATCCAGATATTGTATTTCCCCTAGTCAATGTATGAAATCAACTTTAAAATACAGTTTACATACAGTAACATTTAAATGTTGAGTGTATAGATGAATGATTTGAGAAACGTATACACCCTTGTAACTACCACTCCAATCAAGTTAGAAAACATTTCCATCTTCCTAGAAAGTTCCCTCAGTGTCATTGACTTTTGCAGCCACCTCAAAGGCTTTATACATGAGATGCAGGACATAAGTTCTGATAAAAGGGGAGTCTGGTTTTTACAGACGAGGTAGATTCATAGAACTTACAGATGTGAGGTATCCTGCAAAGTAGCCTTCAGGGCATGAATGATTGCTAATTGGAGTGTTGTCTTGGTGGCAGGTGCATCAAACAGAGTGGCCCACTTAGGCCTTTCAGATCCATCAGCCCTTACTCCTCTTGATAGTTGTGGTAAATGATATAGTCAGATGTCTTAATTGAGTCTCTATGAACATTTAACTCCTGGAAGCTGACGTGTTTGGGCACAAGTTTTGTTTTTTTTGTTTTTTTGTTTTTTTGTTTTTCAGTTGGCTTTCTGAAGGAGGAGATATGGGAAAAGGTATGACTGGTTGGCTGTGATGATGGTGTTGAAGAACAGAACTTACTCCCCTCTGTGCTTACAGTATCTGATATTGTGATATTTCCTCGAGAAGAAATGTGTGGTACATCTTTTAAGTACTAAGGGGGATATTTTTGGCCAGGAAAACACTTGCTAGTAACCTCATCAGAAAGTCTTGAAAATGAAGTTTGAGAAAGGACAAAATACTCCGGATAGAGACCAATAGATGGAGTAAAATTATAGTGACAAAAAAGATCAGAAAAGGACATGTCTGTAATTCACAGCAGAACATGAAGAACAAATGCTGCAGATGCTAGATGTTTCTTTTTTTTTTTTTTTTTTTTGAGACGGAGTCTAGCTCTGTTGCCCAGGCTGGAGTGCAGTGGCCGGATCTCAGCTCACTGCAAGCCCCGCCTCCCGGGTTCACGCCATTCTCCTGCCTCAGCCTCCCGAGTAGCTGGGAGTACAGGCGCCCGCCACCTCGCCCGGCTAATTTTTTTTTGTATTTTAGTAGAGACGGGGTTTCACCGAGTTAGCCAGGATGGTCTCGATCTCCTGAACTCGTGATCCGCCCGTCTCGGCCTCCCAAAGTGCTGGGATTACAGGCTTGAGCCACCGCGCCCGGCGATGCTAGATGTTTCTGAATAAGTACCCAAGTACCTGTGATATTTTGACACAAGTAGGGTAAAGACAACCTTTTGGGTGCCACTGAGGACTGGTGAGTTGGGTTCATGACTAGGCAATTGAGTGCTTACTAGATAAGCTTTGTGCTAAGTAAGCAGTCCTAATTCTTATAAAAATACTAAGACATTGACATGTATGGTCATTTGTCCCCAGTTTTTTCATGAAGAAACAAGAGACTGAAGAAGATTAAGTATTTTGAGCTAGTAATCAGCTTTTAATCTTGACTTCTGCGTGTCTCGGGGTAGGTAACATGACAGTGGTGTAATCTAGTTGCCGTTGTTTACTGATTTTACTCTGCTGCTCTCATATGCTGTGACTGTCTTGCTCCTTGCCTTCCCTGGGTTTGTAATGTGAGTGAGCTTGTTCAGTCTTACTACCTCCTGCACACGGAATTCAAAAGAGAGTGAGTCACGGCCACAGTTGGCAGGAATCTGTTATGTTACTCCATTAGCCACATGACAGTCTGCTTGTAACAAAATGACAGCGAAATATAGCAACAGTTATCATACTCTTCTTCCAGTTATCCTTTTAGCTGATTTTAGTAGTCCTGTACTTTACTAAGTTTTTATCAATTGTGCATAATGTCATTCATTTCATTTTTCAGTGTCTGCATCTCTTTTCAGTCCGTTCCATCAGCAAAGCCAACTTAAATTTTGTTTAATCTCATTGCAGTGCACCCGTAGCAACCCCTTCCAGTTTCTTAGACACTTGCCTATCTTTCTCCTTTTATCTTCTTCGACATCCCTACTGCCATATGCATTCCAGCCTGGATAAATAATGTGCAGCTTCCCAAATGTCTAGTTCATATCTCCAAACCTCTCCTTGTCTGCCTGATATTCTTAGTGTCCTCTCTGGAAAACTTCCTCAGGGCAGAGTTAGGTATTTTCATTTTGTGTGATGCTTTTCTTTGGGTGACTGGTGATTTTGGTTGTTGATATTATGAGTGAAGGTTTAGGGTCTAGACTTTAGGGTGATGACTATAGGTAGCTGGAGTGAATTTCTTCCACCTTTGCAAAGGTTTCTTTGCCCAGTCGACTCCTTCCGTGAATGGGAAGGCTGATCTGTATGAAGGGTGTTGATTGGCAGGCTTTACTTTACTCTGTGATGGAGGGAGTGGCAGCAGCCTCCAATAAGATGGGCTTTATTCTGGGGCAACCAAACCCATCCAAGCACCTAACAGACTCCTGTGGAAGGTTTTGTTTCTTTAGAGAGTATTTATTTGGCTTTAGGCTGCATTTAGAAGCAGCTACTACCTGTTGGCCGTGTAGGCATCTGAATGGAAAGTGGGTGGGAGGGGTTGAGTAGCTATGGCTTTTCTATTCCTTAGACAGTCTTTTTGCCTCATGCTTGCTTGCTCTGATCTTCTGGAACCTCTCTAGAGCTCCACCAGAAAGGATGGTACCTAAAACATCCATTTCAGACTGCTCTTGTGTTTATTCTTGGGTGGGGTGGCTTTTGCTTTTGCTTATCAGCTTTGAATAGAATAAAAAAGTAATAACCTTTTCCCCTGAAAGGTAATAACCTGTCTCCTGAAACACATTTGCCCAGTCTGTCACTTTGAAATCCTGAACCAGAAGTTCTGTTGACAACTTTAACTGTTTGAGATTTTAAAAATTTAAACAAACTAATATGAAGAATACATTAATAGGTCAGGCGCGGTGGCTCACACTTGTAATCCCAACACTTTGGGAGGCCGAGGTGGGCGAATCACTTGAGGTCAGGAGTTTGAGACCAGCCTGGCCAACTTGATGAAACCCTGTCTGTACTAAAAATACAAAAATTAGCCAGGCATGGTGGCAGGCGCCTGTAAAGTCCCAGCTACTTGGGAGGCTGAGGCAGGAGAATCGCTTGAACTCGGGAGACGGAGGCTGCAGTGAACAGAGATCACGCCACTGCATTACAGCCTGGGTGACAGAGCAAGACTCCGTCTCAAAACAAACAAGAGTACATTATTGTTTCCTAAGAATTGATAGAATACTTTGTAATGTTTGTGGAATATGAAATTGTTGTAATGCTGAAATACAAGTCACCTATTTATTATTAAGATTATTAAGTTATGTTCTAAAAATATTTACAAAGCTATTTAGGGCAAGGAAAACTAAAGGTAGCTTCCAGAAACCTAGGTGAGAGGGGATTGTGAGGAGGTCTCAGGCGTTGCCATTAGCTACTAATTGATACTTGGGGCCAGTAGCAAGGTAACTCCAGCTTAAATGAAGTTTACATTCTAGGATTGGAGGAAATTGCTTGTTTCCCAATGTAAAATTTGCTAATTTTAGGTTGTCTTCCTTGATATGATATTGAGATAAAAGTTGTACTACTTGTGGCTTATTAAAGTGAATTGTACCATATAGTGGCTATATAGTTAGGGTTAGGTTGCAAGTTGTGTTTTCAGTGAATGATAAAATAATAATTTGCCATGTCTTCTAATAAGAGTGAAAAAGTGAAAATGAACCTGTATGCAACATTATTTTTATCTCTCAATACATTTTGGGAAAGTTAATTGCAACTGTGTGGTTCAGGGATTTAGTGCAAGAAGAAGAACAGTTGATGGAAGAAAAGAAAAAGAAAAAAGACGACAAGAAAAAGAAGGAAGCTGCTCAAAAGAAGGTAGTATGTGTATAAACTATTTATATTAAGCAGTTTAAACATAGAATTAAAAAGAAAATTACTCTTACAGATTTTTAAGGCATTTATTTGATTTAATGTTTTAGTTTTAATGGAGATTCATTTTAATATTTAATGTCTTTGAATATGCATACAAAGTAACTTGCTGAGTTTGTACAATTTAATGCATAGTTATTAATCTTGCCAATAGTTTTTCAAAGGTAAGTACGTAAGTACGTTTTATAGATCTTTATCTTTCAAATAGCTATTCCTAGGTGTTTCATAATAATATCATTTTATAAGTGGGAAGAGCATGGAATTTGTAGCCAAGTTGAGAGGATTTGAAATCTCACTCTCCCACATAGCACATAGAATGGTGTGACCTTAAATTTTATTTAGCCTCTCTGGGCCTTAGTTTCCTTGTGTTTTGTTAAATGAGGGTTGAATTAAGTGTTATTATATGTAATATAGAAATAGAGTATTAAAGGAAAACATAATAGACATAATAGGAAGTAAAGTGTCAGTTTCTTTTTCCCCCTTTATTTAGTACCTGGGCTGATTTTTAAAGTTTGCAGTGTACATTAACCTTAAAATAAACCTAGGACATTGTTTACTGCAAGGGCATTATTGTTTACTAGCTAATGTAGTATAGGAAACTATAACTAAATGCAAAGTAAGTTAAAAAATTTTTTTTAATCTGTAATCATTAAAAATTTTCCAAATTGTTAATACTAAAAGCTGATAATAGTTAACTAAATGGGCACTCATCTCCTACTATGTCAAGGTTTCAAGACATTAAAATGTTCTAAAAGACCTAGTGAAATTACTGTTTCAATTCTCTATTCTAATGAAAAATTATTTTGATTTCTTATATATGCCTCTTTTGAGCCAGGCATTGTGCTAGGAATTGAATGTAGACTCTAGCAAGATACTTATGTCCACATTATTTAATAGGGGAAAACACAGGCTATAAAAGTGGCAGGTGAGGCATTTATGGGGAACTGTTGCAGTACAGAGAGAGAGGTGCATAACTCAGGCTGAGATGGGGCAGAGGAACAGAGAAGTTTCCTTAGAGTTGAAATTAGGTGAATAAGGAGCAGAATAGAAAAGGATTCCAAACAGTGAAAACTCAGAAATACATGGTAGCCTGTACGTGTTAAAGGATGGGTTTTGCTTGGGGGAAAGGGAGGGAACTGAGGGTAGAACTCTGAAGAGTTGAGCTAGGAAAGGCTAGGAGGTTTTCTCAGGGCTTCGGGGAAAATGCTGAAAATGTTTTAGTAGAGTGACATAAAAATTTGTATTTTAGTATGTTTACCTTGGAAAATTGTGGAATTGGATTAGAAGGGGTAGATACCAGAGTGTGAAATACTGGTGAAGGGACTATTAAAGTAACCCCCAGACTTTGTTTAAAGGATATAGAGGGAGAGTCAACTTACATTGATTCGCAGGTTCCAGATGAGTGACTACATTTGAGAGGAGTTAATCAGGCTGGGGGATACAAGGAAAGGGGAAATGATAAATAATTCATTTCTACATGTCCTGAGCCTAGGGGTGTCATCAGCAAGTATTAGGAAGGAGAATTAAGTATGAGATGAGAGGAGATGATGTGGCCCTAGACACCTGCCTTTTGGTTGCTCTTAGGGGTGCCTGGGAAGGGATGCATAGGTATATGAAATGGTTAGGGTTTTGGTAGGCTTCTCATGGTTTGGCATTGACCGATGCCTTGGGCGTCTGTCAGAGGCTGTTTATGTAGGACAGTCTTTGCAGTCTGGTTGGTCATTGCTCGGGATTTCTTATGAGAAAGTTGTGTCCTCTGTAAGTCTGAGTAAAGGTAAAGGGGTAAAGGCTTATCAGACTCTTGTTCCATGGTGTGAAAGGCCATTTGCCCAATGAAAAGAGCTTCTAAGAAACTTAAGAGGTTTATTGAAAAGGATGCTTGGGTATACTTTATGTAGATTCAGTAGTTTGGCAAGCATCTGAGTGTTGAATTAGGCTCTGTTGGTCCCTGTGTCTAAGGAGTTCAAGAATTAGCTGATAAGTCAGAATGTATGTGAAATGGCTAGAGAAGAGGCCTAAGACAATATATAAGTGTATTTGTTTGGAATTTATTCTATTTACTGAGAAATTTTAAGAAAGGGGTCACTTGAATGATATCTTTAAATATTGTGTTTTTGTGAATATAATTTTAAAGTGTAACATATACAGCAATGGCTCTACTTGTTACAAGTACATCTTTACATTCTTGTATAAATTAAATCTCTAAATCACCAAGTCAGTATAGGTGGTCACTTATGTGTAGGCAGCTTATAAATAAGCCTCTAACACATGAATGGTGATTATTGTGCCATTTGACTTCTCACCAAATCTGAAGTGACAGCTTTTCTTACTGTTGCCCACTTCATTCCTGTCTCACCCCGTGGTTCCAGTCTCTCACCTCAACCATGTCCTTACTAGAACCATCATCAGAAGCTTATGGATATAAGAAGTTTTTCCTTCTTTTGCCAGATCTTCGGCACTGATAGGGTATTCCTGTGTGTCTCATAGACACATCAATAGTATCTGCCCAATGAACACAATATAAAGGAAGGTTTAATACCTCTAATAAATGTTAAGTTTAGCAGGCTGGGCCACTACTGTAAATTAGACTGTTCTCCAAATTTCAAATAATCAGCTTACAACTGAATTTGAATACAACCTGTTGGTGAAGTGAGGACAGCTGGTATTTCCTTAGAGTGTTACCAGATAGCTCTTGAAAAGAAAAGAAAACCCCCAAATGGCACTCTTTATAGCCCATATGAGGAATTGTGAGTCATAGGGTTTTTAAGACAGGTTTCCTGGAACTGTTTTTTTTGTCTCTAGTAGGAGCCAGCAGGTGTATCCAGGCAGATATCTACATGAGCCAGGTGGGCAGGCCCATTTATATAAATGTTGGCATATAAACTCACTACAGTAAAAAGTCTATTTTATGTAATTTATATTTTCTTATTTTTGAAAAGGTCAGGTATTACCTGTTCTAATACATTTGTTCATCTTTAATATAAGGAACCTAAGCATTAGAATGAATTAAGTGATTGACCTTGGTTTCATCATGGTGACAGAACCAGGAGTATAATTGAAATTTCTCTCCTCTAGCTGGTGCTTTGCCAAAACCCTGTGCCATGAGTTTATCCTTTTCATGCAGAACATTAGCTTATACGTTGCTTTGTTTTTTGTCATATAAAGGTGAACTTTAAAATTGGGAAATAATATATTGTGATAATTTTTATAATAGGGCATAAAATAGGTTCTTATGCCATGAATACTGAAAATGCATACATTTAATAGTCCCCAGTAGCCACTGTGGGTTTTTTTTTTTAAATTAACACCATGGGTTATTTTCTATTTTAAGTAAAAAGCCAGATAACATAAGTTCCTATAAAAACAATTAGACACCATCAAGGCCTTCAACAGTATTTTCATTATGATAGTTTTTATTATCCTGTCATTTAAATATTAATTTAAATATTTAGATTCTTTAAAAGAGCTTTTTCACGTTAAAAACGGTGATTTTTATTATATTTCAGCCCCAATACATTTGTAATTAACATGGAGACCCATGACTTTTGTTTTTAAAATTTTTTGAAAAGCCTTTTAATCAAAGATTATGTATAACACTCTCTTCTGTTTCATATCTAAGAACCAGGGTTGTTATTTTCTGATTCTTGGGCTTAGAAAATAATTTGATAGAGCATGGAAATGTAGGTTCTATACTTTAAAAAAAGGAGAGGGGTGACAGTAGTAGCAGTAGGTTACCATGGATTTCTCTCCAGGTTCTGTTTTTAGAAGAAATTTCTTGAAGGAATCTTAAGGGAAATGTAACGAGGAGGAAAATGGAGATTGAGAAATAGGTTAATTATAGAGGGATAGTTTAGTGTAGCCTTTACTTTAAGCATGCAGTTGTAGTTCCTAGAAAGCATATAATGGTTGAGGGCCAAGGGGAACCAACAATACAAGTTGGGATCTTTTGGTGTTGAGAATGTTTCAACATCCATGGACTTTTTGCTGTTACTGTGTTAAGAGCTGAAGGGATTTTTATAGGTGTTATTGACTTAAATATACTAAATTCAAGTTTAAATGAGACCTAGGTTTTAGAGAGCTTCCAGCTTTATTGCCATTTTTGAGGATCATATTCAGCAGCTTCATTAGTAAATTTTCTCAGTAACCTTGGTGGTAACATGACCAGGCCTGAGTTGTGCTCTCATCAAGGGCAGTTAGGTGTTCTCTTACAGTCTTGCCCCTTGTTGCACCTTACACTTCTCTTTTCCTCTTTTTTAAAACCCATTTTAGTCAACAGATCTGGATTCTAGACTGAGTGGTGATTGCTAAGTCATAGGAAAGCTCTCTGAGCACTAGGTATCTCATTTAAAATCAGTGAATTGAACTGGATTAATTATTTATTCTTAATATCAGGTTATAATACTTGGCACTGTTAAGACATTGTAGATGATTAGAAAAAAAGAAAAACAAGACCTGGACGCGGGATGAATGTAGAGTCAGCTTGTTTCCAACAGTGAGAGCCGGTACAAAGCACCGGCAGGTAGGGCTGAAGATAGCAACCACCAGCGCCACAGCAGCAGCTGATGTCTGCTGGATGCTTTCTATACGTCAGGCTTTGTCCTAAGTGCTTTTATATGAGTTAAATCCCTTTAACCTTACAACTCTGAGGCGGGTGTTTTTGCCACAGTTCTATAGATGAGGAAACTGAGCTTTAGAGAAGTTAACACACTTGACCATGGTCACACAGTGTAAGTGGCAGAGCCAGGTAGGCGGTCAGGCTTTAGATCCTGAGGTCTTAACCACTGAAGTGTGCTTCAGGACCGTGTTGTTGGGACAAGCAGTGCCTGACAGGCAAAGCAAGTGGAGTGTTGTGCTCTGCCACTGCACTGCTCTCTTCAGTAATGAAGGAGGCAGTTGTGATCATTGCTTGTGGAACCATGGCTCAGATTTTTTTTTAAAAGAATAATATATTAAATATGGAAATCATTTTGCTTCTAGATTGGCCAGAATCTTTTAATTATCTGTGTGAGAGGATTTACAGTGATACTTCACATTTGAAGTGGTATTGTATAGTTTTTCAAAAAAAACTTTCACATTTTATTATTTGACCCTCCTAATAACCCTGAAAGGTAAGCAGGACAATTATTTTGTCCATTTGAGAGATTAGGAAACTGAGACCCAGAGGGTTTAAATGATCAGATCATTTCAAAGTGAAAACAACCAGTCAAGATTAATTTTAATATATTTTATGTAATCTAATATAGCTAAAAAGTTACTATTTTGACATGTAGTCAGTGTAAAATATTATTAATAAGGCATTTTTTTTCTTTTAAAAATACCGAATATTAGAAATTTGGTGTGTAATTTGCTCATCTCAGTTCAGACTGGCCACATTTCAGTCAGTGGTCGGTAGCCACATGTGGCTAGTGGCTATTGTTTTGGATAGTGCAGACAATTACTCTTAAAATGACTGACCCCACCTCGAAAATTCTTTTTAATAATTTGAGTAACGTACTAGGTCTCTAGACCAGCCCGCAAAAACCTGTTCTAAAGAAGTAGAACTCTTAGTTCTGTTTCTTCCTATTCTATGAAGAGCTCTTGGTTTCTGTAATATTACTTTCATTCCTTCCGTACATTAAATCCGATTCTTAGGGGCAGACACACCTTAGGTGTCTCCATGGGGCCATTCTCTGTAGATGACAGAATACTGAATTGACCATTGTTTTGAAGCAACTTTTTCCAAAGAAGTTTTGTAGCATATATCCTTTATGTTGTAAGGCCTAAAAGAGCAACACTGTATACTTTTTTTTTTTTTTTGAGACGGAGTCTCGCTCTGTCGCCCAGGCTGGAGTACAATGGCCGGATCTCAGCTCACTGCAAGCTCCGCCTCCCAGGTTCACGCCATTCTCCTGCCTCAGCCTCCCGAGTAGCTGGGACTACAGGCGCCCGCCACCTCGCCCGGCTAATTTTTTTGTATTTTTTAGTAGAGACGGAGTTTCACTGTGCTAGCCAGGATGGTCTCGATCTCCTGACCTCGTGATCCGCCCGTCTCGGCCTCCCAAAGTGCTGGGATTACAGGCGTGAGCCACCGCGCCCAGCCCACTGTATACTTTGTTTTGTTTTGTTTTTTTGGTAGAGACGGGGTTTCGCCATATTGGCCAAGCTGGTCTCAAACTCCTGGCCTCAAGCATCTGCCTGTCTTCTGCCTCCCAGAGTGCTGGGATTACAGGCGCGAGTTGCACCTGGCCTACTTAGGGTTTTCATGTGGTTATTGTTTCTATGTTCTGAATTTTTTTTTTAAAGCCTTTCAACATGTAAAAGAAATTTTCTGCTAATTCTTTGGCTTCAGAAGATTATGCATCTTATTGTTTGACAGACATTTCTGATACCTAAAAGTGTTCATATACTAATTTCTGTCTAATAAGACTTGTTTTTCTACTCTCAGATTTTAAAAATGATTTTTCCAGAAACAAATAAAGTGTTGTTAGCTAGTTGACTGGTTGTTTGGCATTGTCTTTCCATCAAAAAAAATTTTTTTTTAATTTAAATTTTGATCCATAGAGTAAAAGATGAGCCTCCATTATTTTGTATTTCACTAGTGCTCTAAAACTTAGCAAAGCGCTTAGGTGGTGGATCAAGACTCCCTGGCTTTCTGGGGAAAGATTAATGTTTGGTGTGGCTTCAATATTAGGGGAATTACTATAGCTTTTACCATATATACCTATAATAGTATAATTTAAAATGGTGTCTTTGATAACAGTAATTTCATATAACTAAGCAAAATGAATTATGCCACATGGCACCTAAGAAAAGCTTTATCGCCATTTAGAAACAACTCCTGGTTATTCAGTTACATAGTCATTTCTCACCTGCCTTCCTGTTCTTGTATCTGTTATTTTCAGGATTCCCATAATATTGATTTTGATCAACAGGTTGATTTTTTTGCTTGGGCTTTTCTGTCTGGTTCTTTTTGAGGCCCTTGGGAGTTTGAGCTAGTCACCTCGAGGCAACCCTGCTGTCCTCAAGCCCCTCTCCTCAGTTTTGGTGTCAGAAAATGAAGAGCAGACATTGGAAGGCAGTGAAAGCAGAGTTCACGTCAGTTCAGCTTCTGATCACAGTAATTTTAACGGATTGTCAGATGTGTCAGAAGTGATAAATTAGTTTGAAATTTTTTTCCACTCAGAAATACATAGGTACTTAAAGGTTGACTAAGTTTAATTGCAATAGCAGCCTAACCTCCAGGAGTTAATTTTATTACTAATTTGGCTAAAGTGATTACATACAGCTTTTCTTACAGAAAACTTAATTCATCTTTTTATCACTTGCAACAATTTTTGAAGCCATTTAAACATACAAAATATATTAAATCCATTAAATGTAAAGGTGACAGTTTGTATAAAAATCATTTTTAAAGGACATGAGAAAAGTGTACCTCCCATTTAAAAAATTATATACTGTCATACAGTGATGTCTTCTATGCTTAGTGTCACAAAAAGTAGGTTTTTAAAATTAATAAACACAGTATCAGGGATAATGGGGCACATCTGTGGGAAAAGCATGCTTTCCTTGCATATCTTTTCCTGTGCAGTTCATCTGTTTGAGAAATTCCTCATTTAATAAAGGTATATATGTCTTATAGTAATATATGAACATTTTGTCATAACAGTCCATTTCTTTCAGTTTCATATTTACATTGTTTTTTGTTTGTTTGTTTTTATTTTAGGCCACTGAACAAAAAATCAAAGGTACGTTGTTTAAAGCTATTTTTTATCCCTTTTTTCATTAAAGCAAGGTTGTTTATATGCATTTTTATTCATTTCAAGGATGGGAGAGAGAAGAGCATGAAAGAAATGGGTGGGCTCAGACTTCTTCAGTGACATACCTTGGGGTCGTCCTTTGGGGTTTCATGGTTATTGTGGTGTATGTCACCACATTTACAGTGCACTGCCTCAGAGCTGCCTTAAAGCTGTCTCATAGGATAAGAGTAAGCACTGCTTCCTAATGTACTCCCTTGTTTTGACTCTTGGGGCACAGGCATCTTTCCTTCAGTCTTCCTTCTAAAAGTCTTCTTGTGTGGGGTAACCTCTAGGACCCCACTCTATCCCTTGGGAGTTCTGCCTCCTTTATATCTTGTTCTCTGAAGAATGTCCCCCATTCCTCCTTATAGGCAGCTAGTGACATCCATCTCTGTATTATCACTTAGAATAGTAGATTGCAAACCTTATACATTGTGTCAGGTTGAACAGCACCCATTAGACCCCAAGCAAAAGACACTGGAGTGATAAGGAAACAGGAGACTACTTCCTCGCAGGAAACAGGAGAGTAATTCCTCTCAGATCCTGAATCAGGAGTTCTTCACCCTCCCAGGAGTTGACTACTTGGTAATGAAAGATGTAAAGCTCTCAGATGCTGAACTTGTTGGGCCTTAAGATTCTGAATTTTTATTTTAAGCTCTATCAAAAGTATAATCTTACCCCTCAAAAAAAAAGATGAATGAAGGAATGAAATGGTTCAAAGAGGAATGAAATGGTTCAAGCATGATTCAAGCAAAGAGATAAGAAATAACATGATGTGGCTTACAGTAGTGGTATTCCATAACATGATGTGGTACGCGGTCGTGGTATTCCTAGAGTGTTAAATACTCAGTGATAAGTGGGCAGGGTTGAGGCTGAAAAGATAGGTAGGGCCAGGTAAAAGTGGGTTAATTTATTTGCTGTTTGTACCAACAAGCTTGGACTTTTTATGTGACAGGCAGTTAGGAGGCATTCAAGACTTAAGCAGAGAGACATGGTGCTTTGTTTCACTTTGTTTTCCATTTTTTAAAGCTATCAACTACTGTACATGGAAAGTATTGGTTAGAAGACAGGTAGGAATTTGAAAGGTAGAGCTAAGAGAAGAAAGGCATTGTGAGCAGAGGAGGCAGGTAGACAGCATGGGGAATACAACATGCATCTTTTGTCTCTAGAGTTGGGGAGGAAGCGACCGAATATAGGCTTGGAGATAGAGGGAGCCACAGGGCTTCATGCTGGTTAAGCCAGCAGAGGTGTTTGGGTTTGGAATGTCATGGTCATAAGCTGTGCTTTAGAAACTTAACTTTGCCAGTAGTGCCTAGAGTCACCAATAGAAGCGAGATTAGAGAGGGTCATGAGGGTTTGAACTGAGGTCTTGGCAGAAGAGGTAGAAGGTGGGTGACAGATGTGTGAGGTATAATTGACAGGACTGACAACTGATGAGATCAGAAGAGGAATTGAAGGTGCTGCTGTGGCTTTGAACTTGGAATGTCTAAGACAGTTACAAGGATGTGTAATGTAGGGAGCAACATTGCCAAATTAGTAGGAAATGTTACCAAATTAATTTTCCTAAAACTCTATTTTCCCCACCCCTCTCCCCCACATAGCAATGGTAAGTTGCCCCTAGTTATACTTGCTTCAAGACCAAACTCCTTGGCTTAGCTTTCAAGGCCCTCATTAATCTAACCTCCCTTGACCTAACCAGCCTGTATTCTCATCACTCTATACTTTTTAGAGCATTCTTACCTCTTTCATGTTCATTCTTGTTTCTTTTTTATCCAGTTTCTCAGCCAAAGATGTCTTTATCAGGCCTTTCAGGTTTCCTAAACCTCTCAGAGTTCATCCTCGAATGGGTCTCTCCAACTACCGTAGATATCTCCCTTTCCAGTTTCTTAGGCTGTTATAATCTCAAATTTGGGCACTTGGTTATATTCTTAGATTTTTGACTGATCCATGGATATTTGTTTCTTCAACATCTTTGAGTACCTAGTGTTTATATCATTTCTAAATGTAAGTAATTTTTTTCTAGCCTTACATAAAATATGAACATTTTTAGTCTTCTTGGTTTTGTTTTAGATTTTTCCACAACTCTTGAGAATGATAGGCTGAGTATATGAAAGTCACTTCAGAATACATTTTGTTGTTTTGCCAGTGATTTCACTCACATCATCCTTCTTTTCACGGTGTCTCTCTTCATAATTGTTCACATTTTTTCTGATTCATGGAAATGTGTTGTTTTATTTCTGTGCTATGTATTTGTCTAGGTAGTATTTATAGTTTGGGGTTCACACAGTGGTTAGAGATTACAAACTGGAGACTTGAGGGGCAAATGTGGCCCACTTGGTGGTGGTGGTGTTTACTAAACTTTGTATTTTGAAATAATTTTAGATTTACAGAAATGTTGGAAAGATAGTACAGAGACTTCTCATACACACTTCATTCAACTTCCTCCATTATTAACATCTTACATTAGCATGGTACATTTGTCAAAACTGAAAAACCAACAATGATACTAACCTCACCAGTTTTTCCATTAATGACTTTCCATTCTAGGATCCGATGCATAATGCTACCTTGCATTTAGTTGTCAGGTCTCCCCAGTCTCTGGTTTCTGCACTGTTTTTATTATAATCCTGTACATTTTAAAATGACTGCCAACATTTAAAAATCAGAAGAGTCTGCCTATTCCAGAATTGCTGCTTCTCTTGCAGTTCGTACTGTCAATATGATTTTTTCTCTTTCTGTATTGTAGAGTCTGTGTAAAGACCAGGTTTAGCCACATGTGGCTGTCAAGTACTTGAAATGGGGCTAATGTGACTGAGGAACTAAATTTTTAATCTTACAGGGCAACATAGCTCTGAAGTGTAATGGGCAACATAATGACATTCTTGAAAGTTTTATTCTTGTGACTTCAACTTTGAAAAACTGTGAAGAACATAAATATTTGAATATTCAAAAAATCTTTTAAAATATGTATCTTACGAGTATGTCCTTGAAACACCAGGAGAGTGAAGTGCTAAAAAACTTCTGGTGAGGTATAGGGATGGATGGATACATTTTAAGATGCCTTGTGGTATATATAATGTAAAGGCAAGGAAAGAGCTAATGTCCCTCTTCAGAGTGTCCTTGGGAACTTGGTTGAGAATAAGAAAATTTTTTTAAAAGTTTTTCAACTCTGACATTGACTTTTTCTTTTTTAAGGAGACAAGGTCTCGCTCTGGAGTGTAGTGCACAGTCATAGCTCACTGCGGCCCTGAACTTCTGGGCTCAAGCAGTCCTCCTGCCTCCTGAGTAGCTGGGACTACAGGAGCAGGCTATTTTTTTTTTTTTTCTTTTTTTAAATGTGATGATGCTGTGTTACCCAGGCTGGTCTCAAACTCCTGGACTCACATGATCTTCCTGCCTCAGGCTCCTGAGTACTTGGGACTATAGGCATGAGCCCCCGCAGCTGGCTGACATTGGCTTTCTTGGGAAGCATGTTGATTATACATTCCTTTCAAAAGAGTAAGTAAGCACTGTTGATTTTTGACAGCTAATTTTCTTTCTCTCTCCTCTCTTTTTCCTCTGTCTCTTCCCCTCCCTGTCTCCTTCATATCAGTGTCAGTGCTTTTTTTGAGTGATTTCATGAGCAAGGTATCTTCCAAAGAATAACAAACCCCTGAGCTCCTAAGGGAGTTGTGGGAAGCCCGGGGAGATCCTGGTGGGAAACAGCAATGGAGAAAAAAGGATTAAGATTTTATTTTTTGGGTGATAAAATAGCGAAGTTTAGTTTATTACTGCCGTTCTGTTTCTGGGTTAATTAAAAACTCATGAAATTGAATCAACATTTACGCATTTTTTTTTTCCTGCCACAGTTGGCACAGTTATTTTTATCAGTTCTAGCCTTAATACTTGTTTTTCTGTCAAACACAGTGTTATTACATCTGGATGATAAAAATAAATCAGCTGCATGTCAAATCATATTGTAGACATTAGAGAGCTGACTTAGAGCCCTTTCTATGTGCCAGGCACTGTGCTTTATTTCATTTAATCAAGGAAAATATTCTAAATATTTAACCACTAATAATGAATGGGTATCAGCAATTCAGAACAAGGTCCTAAAAGCTTCTTAATGTGCTAAGAGTTACTTTAGTTACTGAATTTTGGGAATCTGTGGGATCCAGGGCAGGGTCCATGGCAGCAGGTTGGGTACTCTGGGACTCATGTAGTCTATATTTAAAAATTGATGTGGGAGTAGGCCTTCAGTGTATACTAGCACAAGGTAAGTTTACGTTTAATCCTCTCAGCAGCCCTTTGAAAGTAGATATTAGCACCACTTACAGGTGAAATTGAGGCTAGGAAAAGTTAACTAACTTGCCCAGGTTATGCAGCTAACAAGTGCCTGAGCCAGAATTCGACTATGAACTTGACTGGGCTCTGCCGCTTCTGTTTCTTTAAAAACAGCCCCTACAGTTACATGGAAGACAAGATGTGAAGGACACACCATTGCTCATGCTACAACAAGAGTCACTGAGGGAACTAAAACAACTCATCTTTTAAAAGGAATCCAGAAAGATCTTGGAACAGATTTTGTAGTATTTCTCTATTGATTAAGCATATAGATTTTTTTTAAAAAAATTGTAGCACCAGTATAATTTTGTGAATTATGGGGAATTTGACAGCTTTGTGATGGGTGAGGCATTGGCTCTTAAATTGTTTGTTACATCTTTGGTTGTTGATGAAAATGAACAAGAGTTTTGAGAGCCAAGCAAGCAGCTGATTCTGAAACCTCCTGCATGCTTTGATCTCTATGCAGTAAACACTGATCCTTCTGTGGAGCAAAACCAGAGTACTAAATTATGTTTGAAGTGTTTTTTTGCTACAACTGTAAGGGAGATGTAATGACAGTTTTGCTAAAAAAGAACCCTTCATTTCATCATTCTTCAAAGGGTGGAGGACCCTTTCTGAAGGACTTG